TGGCAGAACTTCCAAACCGAGCTCTTTTTTTTGTATCCACGAGATGCTGATGTCATGCGAGTAAATTGGCGGCAATGGAGGAGCGCTGGAGTTTGTTACTTTCGGTCAATGCGTGTGACACCCATGCGCCGTGTTTCCGGTCCTTACTCCTTGAGTGAAATGACGAGTGACAGTAACATTAGAGTTCACCATCTTCTGAGCCAATTCCCGCTGGTCTTTTGAACAGGCGTAAAGGTTCATTCTTTGTTTCCAGTTTAGGAAACTGTATTGCCAGTCAGGACTTTTCTGCTGAATTGCCACTTTGAGCCTGTTCAGTAGTTCAACATACAACTAAGCATTGACCATTTGGTTATTGGTGAAGATGACGAGCGACAGTAACATGAGAGCTTGATATTTTCTAGGCCAATTCCCTAGAGGTCTGGCGCGGTTCTTCTTTAATCAGCGTGTGCAATTAGTTCTTATCTAACTGAACCGGTCGGCCAGAATGTGGACATCTGTGTCATTCTTTCGGTATTGATCTCCGTACCCAAGCAGAAAAATACTTCGAGTAGCTTTGGAAGATTTGTGGCCTTGATTAAAAGCAAAGAAGACGTCGAACATACTCGTTCTTGTTTATTTGGCATTCCATGTCAAAGTAGTGTCTAATCTGAAGTAAATTTTCAATAATTTTAGACAACAGTTTTAAGGGATGACCAGAGTTACTAAGAAGCAAAAAATGCTATGGAAGACTATTCTTCGAGATCATTCGCAGAACATCAGAAAAAAACAGACGAATATATGTAATAACCTAATTTCTTTCTTTTTATGTGCCATATCCTGTCAGGACATCATGGCTCTCCACCTTCCTCTATCCCTTACAGCTCTCAACAAGTTCCTTCCCTCTGCTTCCTCCTCTAGACCACGTTCTGTCAGTCACTTAAGTCCGCGCAGGTATATCACGAGTTGTTTTCCCTTGTCTCTCTTTCCCTCTATTCGACCCGTGAGTATCAGATTCTCCAGGCCCTTCTTTCTCATTATATGTCCCAGAAACTTCAGCTCTAATAGCAAGTCTATTTAAGATAATGGCTCGTGTTTTTAGGTTAGTGTTCTGGTTTTGTAGCATCTTACGCTGTTGGATGGAACGACTACAATTCCTTATTTTGCTACATTGGATCGGCCAAGAATCAGCTTTGTTTACTTATCAGATGGTATTAGGACGTTTACTTTCAAATAATTCAAAAAGATCGATTTTGATTGTATTGCGACAATTTATGTCAGGTTAGTCGACGAGTGTTACTGTTAACATGTAACTCAATACTGCCACGAATAAACCGGTTCCCACACTAGGCTTTTTTTAAGATGAGTTGAACGGCTTGAAATCCAGTAGAATTAAAAACAAGAGCTCTCAAATGGTGAATGGATCTTCATATAACCGTCATCTTGCAACAAGAGGTAAACTAGGCTCCATATCTATGTATGCAGTCAGTGTATTGATGACATCGCTGGGCGGACGGCTTCCTAGACTGTAGTCGGCGCGCAGGGCCAAGGATTCTCCGATGGAGTCATTGACCACGTTTTCCGTGACCAAGGCGAACCTTCAAATTGGCTGTAGTTTGAGGGATGAGCTCCACCAGGTCTACTTTCTCAAGAAACGCTACGTATGAATAGCTATCTCTCCGACTTTCAACCCAGACATGCGGAAGGGACTGGTCTGTGCCGCGACCCTGTGACCACACCTGATCATGGAATGGATGATCATGATCATGGTGATGATGTGGCAGTTGTAAAATAACAGGATAAAAACAAGTTCATCTTTTCAAGTGTGGGAATGTCTCCTAATTTCATGCTAATCTTCTTCTTTTATTAAGCAACACCCTTCTCTAAATTCCTTCTACCAACATCCGAGTCTTTCTGTTTCTGTTTTATTTTTATCTTATTGATTTATTTTATAAGGGAACAATTAAATTCTTCCTAAACTCCCTAATGTATACAGTGGTATACATTGACGGATCTGATAAGCAGGTGATCTGTTCGAGGGGTTTATCTCTGATTATATTTTTATTATTATCATTACTATTATACTTCTTATTCTTATTCTTCTCATCATTATTTTTAAATCATTACCCGTCAAGTAAGGCAATAATGCCACTAAGACGCCAAGGTTACTGGTACTGAAAGAGAATGACAAGACGTTAATGAGGAGAAAGGACAATAAAATAATATATTTCAAGAAGATGGCAATAGACATTGAATTTAAATTATTGAAGATTATAGTTGTAGCAAGAAACGGGAAGGGGGTTCCACAGACATGAATTGCGAGAAAAGAAACTATTAGAATAGAACTTACGGTTGCTTATAGATATTTCAATAGTAAAACAATGAAACCTAGTTGCCACATTCAAGAAGTCGTGGTTGTGAGAGCGCTATTTATTCTATGTACAGAAATGCGGCACAAGGCCAAAATGGGGAATACAGAAAAAGGACGGTCTTCTTCTGTCTTAATATTAAACTTAGCTAGCCACAAACACTGACCCAAACATACAACATTATTCCTTACACCAAAACAACGCATTCTTACTTACCTTTCTTACTACATTCACCATAATACCTCATTGTCTCTATGAAAGTTTTAACTAGTCCCCATATCTACAATTCATTGTCTGTGAGGTGGGGAATAAAACAACAATTTAAAAACTAACCCCAATGTGTATATCGTTGTTCTGAGATCTCATCAGAACAATTGTCATGAAAATATTTATAGAAAAGCACATGGAATCTACGTTAGGTCAGGACCGGTAGCATTACAGACCTTTCTTTAGATTTTGTCTAGAATCTCGAGAAATACAGCGGGAGCAGCCAGACCAGATATGACAGCAATATTCAATGCATAGATAAATGGTAGATTTATAAATATGCAAGATGGATTTTGACAAGAAAAATTGTTTGGCCCGACACAGTGAACCAACTTTCCTAGCAGAAGACTTAAGAATTAATTTAATATAATCAACTCACTTTATATCAGTGGAAAACGTGAGACCAAGAAGGCACAACGGGCCGCTCTTCTGGAGGTTAGCCTCAGCCATACTGATTGAAACCAGAAATCATTCTCTCTAATGATTAAAAGATTATTATTATTAAAAAACGATCAAAATAAAACAGTCTTAAGCACTCCTTTATTAAATATATTTTTTTCCCATTGGTAATTCTTTTCCCTTCCTTCTGCGCCCCCATTAAACGTGTAGCTAATGGATAAATCTTACCTGTCTAGCGCCTCTCAGCGTAACCTGCGACGTCTTGGAATCAGCTAGCCAACATTTAATCTACTTGTTTGGGATGAATGACCCTAAACCTTAATGTTAAATGAATGTTAGCAGAATTAACTTTTCTCTCCTCAAATAAATTATCCCAGCGCTTAACCCCATGACAAAAAATAAATTTTCTTTCTAAATTTAAACCATGTCGCTTAATACCTCTACTAATTTCTTTTATCTTCTCCTTCTTTTCTTTCTGTTAACAGCCAATGACAGGCGTCGTGTTCGAGCTCTTAGTCTATCTCTTAGGCTTACCTATGATTCTATCTATATTGTTCTGGAAGCGCGCCTCTTTTAAAATCATCTCACTCCCAAGTAAGGCTATAATATCACTAGAACACAAGAGTTTACAGGTAAAAGTTTGATTTGTTGATCGATTTATTTAACGGCATATCAACTCCTCATGGGTCATTTATAATACTAAAATTTAATTTTCTTGGGAGCTTTGAAGAAATAAAAATAAGATATGTTATTCTGCTTTCGCAACTGAATACATGGTAGATGATACTCAGCTTTTGCTCATATACAGATTTGTGTGGACATGATTACTAGAGGCGGTGATATGTGTGTTTTATGTTATAGTTTTGTTGAAGTTAAAGTTTATGAAATTGTCGGATATTATATGGATTAGTGCTAAGAAAGAGTTCTCTCATGTTGGTTGCTTGGTTGCTTGTTTTGTTTTGTTTAGCGGTGTATCAACACCTCTATGAGTCATTTAATGCCAATCTAAATAATCTGCACACAATTGCTTCCACTAAATATTTTTTGAACGCAATTATATACTTTCTAATTCAGATAAAATGTATTGTTGGTTATTTTGTTTTAAAAATTTATTCATTGTTAGTAATTTTACTATAAATAATAAAAAATGTATTGCTTATATTTTTACAATAAAAATGTATCTTTATAGTTTCATAGTGTTTTGTTTTTCTTTGGAGGTTCATAGCTGGGACCCTAACAAGTGCTACCACCCCGGGTCAGGTTGAATAACAGCATTTAAGCGCTGTTTCTATGCTACGCAAAACAAGTTTTACTAATTAACATATAGCTGGAGGCAGAAGAGGTGGATTCATACCTTTCCCAATGGTATTTACGTGTAAGTGAATATAACGAACCCGATTGGATTTGGAACACTGTTCTCCAGTTAACAACGTTCAATCACCCGATCACAGGCCTTGCTACCGGATGTAGTTTACCGTCATGCCCATGATTTTTGTGTTAAATAATGAGAAAAAATTATTGAAGAGGCTTGAGCAAAGGGCAAAAAAGGAAGAGGGCTCAAGAAAATAGAAGATGGCGATTGACGTTGCATTTAAATTTTTGAAGATTTTAGTTATCAGCGAGGCAATAAATCGGAAGGGAGTTCCACATGTGAGAAGTGCGAGAAAAGAAACTGTTAGACTAGAAGTGGTGGTTGCATTTAGCTAGTTCAACTGTTGGTTGGTTGTTTTTATTTAGTAGCATATCAAAACCTCTGTGGGATATTTAATGCCGAAACGATGTTGTACGATTTTTTTTTAGATAATAATAGTTTTTTTGCGATACAAGTTTTACTAATTAACATATAGCTGGAGGCAGAAGAGGTGGATTCATACCTTTCCCAATGGTATTTATGTGTAAGTGAATATAACGAACCCGATTGGATTTGGAACACTGTTCTCCAATTAACAATTCCGAGCCATTATTGATTACACTACTCGTACATCCAGGCTTGCAGAACCTGTTTTTTGCAAGCGGTCACCCATTTAGGTACTGACCAGGATCAAGGTTGCTTAACTTCGGGGATCGTACGGGAATCGGTGTTTCAACGTGATGGGGTCGTAAGCCTAGTTCAACCGTAAAACGGTGATACCTAGTTGCCGATCTAGTCACACGCTTACATTTATGCAGTCGGGTCACCAGGGAAAAGCTCATCAGAAAGGATTGCCATGAAAATATTTGTAGAAAAGACAGAGGGAAGCCACGATACGTCGTCGAGATGCCTGGTCAGGATTGGTTATATTAACTGTTTGTCTTTGGTTTTCTGTGCCTAATAAAATGTTCTTCTTCGTCGCTGCTGTCAGGTGTAATGCTTACATCCTTTACCAATTCTAGTGGCTTATGCATTACCCCGTGCCTCTACCATCTAGGACCAGATTGTAGCTAATTGCAACCTGACATTATAGTCATCTCTCCTAGCATATTTGTGGATTTCCTTCCGAATGTTTTACCATCTCACCGTTATCATAACACATTTTTTTCAGTTTTTATTTTTATTTTTTTGCCGTCTCGTTCGTTTATTTGTTTAGTGGCATATCAACACCTTATGTGTCATTTAATGCCGAAATTTAATTTTCTTGGGAGCATGAGTAATTTTCTTTACAAAAATGCATTGGGATTTTTTTTTTTTTTTTTTTGACAAAAATATATATTTCTAGTAATTAGGCACGGTGGAGTAATGGATAATGGCTCGGATTGAGGAATCGGTAGAGCTGAGTTCGAATTCCAGTCGAATCCATTATACTCACTTTCGTGCTAATACCATTGGGAAAGGTATGAATCCTCTTTTTCTCCCTCCAGCTTTGGGTAAATAGCAGGAGAGACCGGGTTGGATGGCAACTGGTCTACCGCAGAAAGAAATGGCAACCTACCTCTTTAGTCATGTATCGAAAGATACATGATCACCTAAGCGTGTATCACGCATGACATATAACTGCTTTTTTTCTTTTACTACGAAAATATATTGTTGGTATTTTTACTATAAAAATGTATTTTATACTTTCATAGAGTTTTCACACCAGTTTTGGTGTTAACTATTTGCCCATAACTGTGACCCAAACATGTGCTACCACCATAGGTCAGAGTAAACCTAGGAACAACAGCAATTAAGAGGTGGTTCAACACTTCCCAAACCCTCCATTTTCCCCATCAAAGACCATACTGCTGGATGTAGTTTATCATCATACCCGGGATGTCCGTCTCTTTATCTTTTATCTCGCGTAATTCCATATATTCCCTTCTATTGTCATCCGCGCCGCCTACGAAATTCCCTATGTATCTATAAGTTTCAACATGTCATTTCTTCTCCGTCAACATCAATATCGTCGATTTGGACGTTTTCTCGGGCCGTTTGCTGTTCCATTATCGGAATATCTTATTTTTTTTCTCGGAGTTTTCTTGCTGAAACCAATATCTAGACTTTAAGTAATCTTCGATTAGTTAATTTTCTTCGATTTCCGAGTCATTTCGTCCTGGGTATGACGATAAACTACACACGGTAGCAAAGACTTTAATCGGGAGATTGGCGGTTTTAAGGAACGTGGGGACCACCTCTTAATTGCTGTTGTTCCCAAGTCCACCCTGACCCGGGGTGGTAGTACCTGTTAGGGTCCCAGCTATGAGCAAATAGTTAACCCCGAAACAAAAATCAACAATACATTTTTATAATAAAATGAGCAAAAATACATTTTTTACAACAGTAAAAAATGTAGAAATACATTTTTATAGTAAAATAACCAATAATGCAATTTATGATCTACAAACTATATATATATATATATCTAAAAAAAAGATATATCTTTACCCCGAAAGCATAAAATTACGTACAAAATATTTGAATGTCGGCAGTAACTAACCCATAGAAGTTGATATGCCGATAAATAAAATCAATCGGCCATCGAGATCTATGTATAGTAAAATTACCAACAATACAATTTATGGTCTACAAGCTATATGTCTAAAAAAACATACCTTTACTCTGAAAGTATCAAATTATGTACGAAATATCTGTACTTGAAAGCGTGAAATTACGTACGAAATATTTAGATTTCGGCACTGAATAACCCATGGAGGTGTTGATATGCCGCTAAACAAAATCAACCAACCAATAATATTTATTCATAGTAAAATTACCAATAATACATATTTAAGCTAAAAGGACCAACAATACATTTTATCTGTAGCTGAAGGCTTAGAATTGTGTTTAAGACATATTTGGTTGAAGCCATGAAATTGTATTCAAAATATTTGGCTTTCGGCATTGAATGACCCATAGAGATATTGATATGCCGCTAAACAAAACCAACCAACCAACCAACCAACCAACCCTGACAACATCACTATCGTCGATTTGAACATCGTGTCTGTCCGTTTGTCGTTCCATTACCGGTATATTTAATTTTTTTTTTCTCGGAGTCTTCTTTCTGACACCGATATCTAGACTTTCGGTAAATTTTTCCTTTGATTTCTGAGTCATCATGTGCTGTTTGGAAATCGACTGGATGCAACTAGCATTGCCTTCCGTATCGGTCGACTAACATTGAGTAGATCTTATTTGTCCAACATTTGCAATTTGCATAGGATCTTCATGGAGCTTAAGTGTGAACTTGCTTACCATTGCCCGTGTGACACGGAATACACCTACCGACAAAATCTACTATTACTCTAATCTTCACGGATAAGACCTGACACGCCTCATTCCTTTCGCATTCCACTGGTGACATGTAAGTTCCATTCGAAACTACTGCTTTGCGGAACCTACTCCCAAGAGAATGCTTCCCGGGCAAAACAATCTTAACAATCTTATCTTCCCCACATATGCCATAAATTTTACCTCTTACTCTGTAACCCTCTAAATCAAGTGGCTCTTGTGTATTGTACAGGATAAACATTAAAAAAAAAGACATGGTCATAAATACTTTTGTTTTTATAGCTCGGATATGTCTTCAAGTAGATATTATTACCGGAACTCGGGTCCTCAGTCTCGACATCAAGCCGCAACCAGTAGTAGACAACTCCGTTCATAATTATTCCTTTTACTTTAACCTAGCAGCCTTGCTTCTATTCAGCCTCTTCCTGAGGATTAATATGCCCTTGTTCATCTCCTATTCTCTAATTACATCTACCTCTGGTAACACTGGTCGTTCATATCCTTTAGATTGGGGTACATCTTTCTTGTATGACACAAACTTCCGGGGTTCAAACTGGTTAGAAATAGTCGCACTAAGTACTAATACGTATTGAACTAAGGAAAGAAGCATTCTAAAAGCTAAGCAAGGTTCTGAGAAACGGGGAAAAAAACTTCGTTAGAAACAAAGAAAGAGTGTTGGATTGCTATGTGGTATCCATCTTCTTATATGCCATTGAATGCTGGATAATCTCCTCACGGATGAAGAAAAAAAAAGTAGCAGAAATTTGAGGAATTATTGCTATTATTAGTTTTTATTACTATTGATTTACTCTTATTTCTGTTACTTCGGTAGAAAAGTGAAACATCACAATATCATACAGGGAAAACCACAACAGAAGAAATGTCCTGGTCTCAAAAAACATTATGAACATTTCCTCCCTGATTACAAACTAAAGCTACCCACAGAAATCAAATATATACCAATATACATCCAATTAAAATCCGTCTCCAAACATAAACTATAATGAACCTAGTGATGAGTAAATTAGAAAATCTATTTAAAAAAAAAACAAAGGTATAATAAAAATCACTTGACATTGAGGCTGGACTTTTAAAAATAGTTTACTTTCTTTCAGAATTCAATCTCAAATTTCTCTATTTTATGAAAGAATTCCGAAATTAGAAACGCGTGCTCAAAAAGTGGAGCTTACCACACATGGAAATATATATATAACCCTCAAGACCCTGACTTCATTATCTCAATTGAATCCATCATGGTGAAACTATTAATGAAAATAATTGTTTTATGAAAGTTAGCTCATCCTAACTCAGTTTGGTTTTCGCTCTGGTAAGGGAAGCAATAATGGCCTATATATAATCATAAAAAGAATTTGATTACCTCGCTAATAGGAAACCATATAGCCGCATTGTCGAACTCACAGCAGCATATGACCATAACAATAGAGACTTCCTATTCTCATTCATTAAAAATCGTCTTCCAATCTCCGAATCTAATGAATGTATCAGTCTAATAGAGGAACTGTATCAATCTACATTTTGGACCCCAATACGGAAACATTTCAAACTCTATCAGGATTACGGCCAGCAGGAAATGAGAGACCCAATTCTATTTAAACTTTTCCTAGACTATGTCCGGCGCATTTACAAAGACAGATGTGTAGATATGGGCACCGATCATTTAAGCATTCCATACAATATCCCAAACAAATATTCTAATAGAAGACAGCAATCCTGCTTTCCCTCTCGAGGCCAAATTACTGATTAAGAGTGGGAAACTATTCTGATGACATAGGTATTCATAGTTGGGATAAGAATGATCTTGAACAGAAAATCAATATCTACCAAGTGGTATTTACTCATTCCCCCACGAGAATGAGATGTGACACAAGGTCGGATTAATGTGGGGACCCGAGCGCGTACACTCGGGCAGGGACAAAAATTCCCCTCAGCCTCCGCAACCGTCGGCTGCGCAGGCCTCGGTGCGAGCACCGATCCCTCCCTCTTGTGCAATGGGAGGGCGTGGCCTCGGGCAGCTGTTCCCCAGGGCAGGGCACCTCTTCAGTATTATTTTCTTCAGTTGCCACTCTGTCCCTTGACAGAGAAGCCCCTGAGCGCACTCTGTCCAAGGACAGAGACGCAACTGAGAGATGATAAGAAAATGTGAAATTACCCCAAAAGAGGAATTTACACAGTATAACATCTACCAAGTGGTTCCAAGAAATGCGACTTAAGATAAACCTTTCCAAAACAGAAACTATGATCTGGAATTGGAATGAAAGCAGTGATGGCACCTACCCTGAATCCATCATAAAAATTATAAATGTGGAATTAGCAAATGATAAACAACTCAAATACCTCGGCGTATGGATTAGTTATGACAAATTTAGTACAAGAGATAAGGAAATGGAACCTAGAATAAGCTGTGCCAGAGGTAGTTCCGACCAATATGGTAAATGGCTACAGAACATTAACCTGAAAACTCGAGTCATTTTCTTAAATAACATTGTCAGATGGAGATTATCACATGGATTTTATGCATGGCGCCAAACTCGCTCCAAAATATCGAATCTACCAGCTGCATACAGCAGCTTTCTAAGATCAATGGTTAAAAATGGCTTTGAGCAAGTGAAGCCTGAGAGTCTTGGCAAAGATCGCCCTTCTTTGAACATTATGGACTGGTATTACAGAACCAGAAAAACTGCACCAAATAACAGAAACCACATCATTTGAGGACTACCAACAGCAGCCACAACTAAAATAGTACATGTAACTCCAAAATGACACAATCAAAATGTTGGCATTCCACACTACTTCAAAAAAAGGTTAGGAAGGAAACCCCCATCAATACTAGGAAGAGCGATAAAAAGTACTAGACTTGAGAAAATTATTTTTCCGAAAATACGTTTTAAGAAAAAGATTTTATAAATTTCAACCGAAAATTCTGGCTGCTCGGTCAATGAATGCCAAATGTTTCCTTGTCAGTAAAAACGGCTATTATTACCATTAGCATTACCATAACCATTTATCATAACTCTTAGGTTGTTACTCTCCGACCTTTAAGCAAGCAATGTGGATTTGAAATGAAAAATAAACTTCCGAAAGAATAAAATGAAAAAAAAAAAAACGAGCAAACAAACAATATAGCGACGTAGTAGAGTTCGGAGAAGAAAAAAAAACAAGAATAAATCTATATGGCTAATTTATATGATGCCTACTGGTTGAGCTTTCTTATCCTAATCAGTAAGGCGTTTTCACGTTAAGATAGTCACACAGAGTGTCCTTTATTTCCGATTTTTACTGCTTACTTAATGGCCGTAGAATAATAATGATAACACTATTTACATTATTCGGACTATTGTCCTCATCTTTGTCGCCATACTTATTACAACGTTTCGGCCGTTGTATGCTCTGACCTTCTTCAGGTCCTCAAGGACACATGGCACAGTGGATAGAGGCGTTAGTTAGATCCAGTGACAGGACCCAAAGAGCGTGAGTTCAATACCCGGTTAATTCAGTGGAGAACTTGGAGAGGGGAATTAACAGGAGATAACTGATAACTGACACCCATTAAACATAGCATGTGGAACTAGAACAGTCTACCCCAGTGAGCGAAATAAAGGCTTCAGTTTGACATTCCAACCACCTGAAGAAGGCTGGGGTGCACAATGGCCGAAACGTTGTAATAAATATGGCGACAAAGATGAGGACAAGAGTCCGAATAATGAAAATAGTGTACATAATACCTCATCTCAGAAATAGAGACAAATAATGATAACAATCAAAATAAATAGAAAAAATATGAATCAATAATGGCTAATAATAACAACCTATAGTTACCACCTTGAACTTTATAAAAAATACAAAAAACACATTTTAAATAATTTAAATACCTTCTTTGAACTTAAATTTCAGTTCTATTTCAAAGATAATGTCCCAAAGCTAATCCGAATTAAATGAAAAATTAATTTCCGTATATAAATTAAATTTTTAGGCATTTTTAAAACATTGGCAGTTTTTTAATCACTCATCGAACCGCCATTGTGAACGAAAAATAAAAAAAATGAAACATTTCTTCAAACTCCAATATATATCGATAGAGATGCGGTTCGGAGTCTATTAGTAAATTTAAGGATTAATTAACCAGATTTTCGAAAAAGTAATGCTTACCTTTTAATTAATGCAGAATGAAATAGCCTTTTATTTACGCACGGTAGACGGTGAGATCAAAGGATAAAATAATAACTCCTGTCATAAAAAGCGCGCGAAAAAGTAAAAATAAAACATAAAGAAAAAAAAGAGAAAACCAGTAGTGCAATAATTAAGAATTTACTATTTATGTTTAAAAATACATTTTCTTTAACCTTATATAACCGATAGTTTAAGAATATATTTCTCTTTTTCTCTCTCTCTCTCTCTATATATATATATATATATATATATATATATATACACATACATATATGTATATATATATATACATACATATATATATACACACACACATATATATATACACATACACACACACACACATATAATAATAACTAGATTTAAAGGGATTAAGGCTCTACCTATAAATATAGCATAAATGTAATTTATGTTCGAAACATTTATCTACAAGTAAATTTTAGAAAAATTACAGTATAAAGTATTTTTATGTATAAACAGAGATACAAATGAGCTGCGCCCTGGCCACGAAGACAAAGACGCAACTGAGCTGAGTTCTGGACACGAAGACAAAGACACAACTGAGCTGAGTTCTGGACACGAAGATAGAGATACAATTGAGCTTCTCTCTCTCCGAAGCCAGGGACACAACTGAAGCTGCTCTCTAGCTAAATACATGGACTCAACTGAATTGCACTATGACCGAAGACAGGGGCAAAACTGACATGTACTCTGTCCGAAGACAGGGGCACAACTGAGATGCGCCCTGTCCGAAGCAACTGAACTTCTATATAGCTAAAGACGTGATAGGAACTGAGCTTCACTCTGTTCAAAGATCACAACTGAGATACGCTCTGCCCGAAGACAGGGACATAATTGTTCTGCTCTCTGTCCGAAACAGGGACAAAACTGAGCTGCCCTCTGTCCGAAGACAGGGTCACAACTGACATGCGTTCTAGCTAAAGACATGGACAAAACTGAGATGCCCTCTGTCCGAAGACAGGGTCACAACTGACATGCGTTCTAGCTAAAGACATGGACACAACTGAGCTACACTCTGACCAAAGACAGTGTCAAAACTGAGATGCACTCTGCCCGAAACATGGACACAACTGAAAGATAAGTGTAACCTTGTTCCACGTGAGGAATCAATTATATTGGGTTGGTGTATAATTATCAGTCGTTTTTAAATAATATTTATTATGAAAAAAGAAACACAACCATTCAACAATAATATTTTTAAATGATTATTGCGGAGCGTATTATTATCGACACGCATTTTTTATAGCCGGAAAATAAAATGTTTTTTTTTTAATTAAAAATGTAAACAAAACAGCAAATTTTATCAACAAATAACTCGCCTACAAAAACGCCTGATAATTATGCACCAACACACTATCTTTACGGCGGTAAATGAAACAAAACTGATGAGTGATAATTTATTTTTTTCTCGTGGTTTAAAGTAAAATTTACTTTAGCCTTTTTCAGTATTAGGTTAAATAATGAATATATATATTTAGTGGGTACTCCTGTTTAAGTAGACGCTCGGTTAAATATATATATATATATATATATATATATATATATATATATATATATATATATACCATTTCTTAATTGGAGGACATTAGCCCAAAGAGAGCTCAATGTAAGTAACAGATCAATATAATATTAATAATAAGTAAAGACAATCTTTAAAATCCATGTTGGTTATAATTTATTTCATGAATACATTTAAATATTCATCTATTCAGACCGAAGGTTTTTTTTTTAAGAAATGAAATCAATTTGTCCAGACAAAAGGAAAATGGTGAGGAAAAAAAAAGAAAAAGGAAAAATTTCAATATAAAATTTTAATATTAAAAAATTTTTAGGAAAGACAGAAAGACAGAGAAAAAGTGAAAAGAGAGAGGAGGGGAGAGGGGAGAAAGAGGGGAGAGGGGATAAAGAGGGGAGAGAGAGGGGAGGGGAGGGAGAGAGAGGGAAGAGAGGGAGAGGGAGGGAGGGAGAGAGGGGAGAGGGGAGAAAGAGGGAGGGGAGAGAGGGAGAAAGAGGGAGGGAGAGAGGGGAGAGAGGGAAAAAGGGGAGGGAGAGAGAGAGAGAGAGAGAGAGGGGAGGAGAATAAAAAAGGAAAGAAGGAAAAATTAAATATGAGCCGATAGGTTAACCTAGAAATAATTTTTTCCTTAAAGGGCTGAACAAGTTAATATACAGGGTAAAGGAGGGGAATGATTAGAATTAAAAGAGATACAGAAATATGCCTAATAGTCATGTAGTTTCAGACAGCAAAACCTTTTCATTGTATTATAATCATCACAATTTCAAATAAATAATAATAATAATATCCAACATCAATAAAATAAAGTAAATTAAATGAAATATAAAATTTAAATAAAATAAAATGCAAAAAATAAATGAAATAATTAAATAAATCAAGAGATAAATAAGGAACAAATTTAAAGAATAACTTAAAAATATAGATAAGTATAAAAATAAGAAAAATAATACTATCAATAATATTAATATAAAACTAAATTAAGAATTTTAAACTATAAATGATGTAGGCAAGACAATCACATAAATGACCATATACAAAAATGTGAATACACGTATGCATATTAATACTCATATAAAACAGAATCAACACTTCAAGTGTATATTCCCCCAAAGTCAATGTTTTAGGGAATTTTAAATTTGTTCTTGTGTCTACACTAGAAGATAAATTCGTTTCTTTGATTCAATAATTGGTCAGCATTTTTATATTTAATCATTATAATTTTCTCTTGTATGCATAGATTGCATCTGTCCCGGAAGTTGTTGAGAGTCTGAAACTGACAGATGATATCCCATTTAATTTGTGGGGTGAAGTTCTTTTGGGAAGCACGTATGGATCCCTTTTAGAGAAACTAGAATATCTTTCCTAAATAAATGTAGATATACTTCATATTAAATTATAACCAAAATGGATTTTCAACATTGTTTTATTATATATATATATATATATATATATATATATATATATATATATATAAACAGTATATATTTATTATAGTCTATCGGCCTGAATATTCGACAAATCTTATTAAAGAAAAATATGCGCCCTCCAGTAGGATTCGAACCGTCTTTAAATCCGACGTGCCTGACTGATGAATAAATTTTAAAAATCCATTACTTCTTTAGAAATTGCTTTGTATACGCTTGGATACGAAACTTAGCAGATATTTCGAGGATCTATGGCGAGAAGGATTTCGCTTAAAGACACTATTCAGCCTTGCTTGATCGGCAAAAATTCTTCATTGCTAACTCAGTATATGTAACGGAGGGCGCATATTCTACTTTAATAACATTTTTTGAATATTAAGGCCGGTAGAAGATAATAAAAAATAATATAAAAAAGCAGAGCGTCTACTCAAATATGGGTATCCACTAAAAATAACATTTAAGTGATAAAAAATCTGTCGGTGTAATAAAAAAATTTACTACTATAGAAATTTATTATATGTAATAATAATGGCTAACCCCTCATATCTGAGTATGCCTGTCTGCTAGGGCGGCTAGACAATCCCTGTTACAGACATCTACTCAGCCATAGTGTTTGTTCAACACCTACAGAGCCCACATGTGGATTATGCTGCAACTATGCTATGATGGACTTTAATTACAGTTTCTGGGAAGGAGCGAATTATCTGGCGTGATCAACAGTCTGATGTTTCAGAATGTGAAGGCTAGGGCCAGAATGGTCAGCGATTGGTCGGAGTGACTCGTGGGCGAGGCATTCTGGCAGTGATAGATTGTCTTTGTCTGGGTTTTGAATATAAGTCGAAAATGGAAACTGAACACAGGGTCTGAAGTATTCTGAAGCGTCGATATGTCTCCCACACATAGGTTTGCGACCAGTTAATACCACCCATGGAGTGACACTGAGCCAAAGTGAGACATGTGTTCTTGTGACGTCAGTCCTCCTATTGCCTCTTAGAATCCAAGCTGCCACACTTAATAAAACGAATACCAAAATTAAATGGTTGATAGCGCCTTATGTATTGGCGTGGGGAACCCGATATGATACATAACACAACACTGAACAAGGACAGTACGCTCAAACACTCAGTGACAATGACTAATAAATAATTTCCGTCTACACAATTTCTTTCACAATGTTTGGGTCAACCAGACTGGGATCACCTATCCAGGCCCATACTATGAAGAAGTCATCTTCCTGACAAATCGTCCACGGCCAGATTCGAACTCGGATCTCATTGTCGAAAAGTGAACGCCCTAGCAACTCGGCGAAGTTATCGTATATTTAATGCGCTTATCTACACGTTTTAGCAGCGTCCCCACTACCTATTTCAAAGAAGATAATCTACCTGACTGCTTCTTAATCTCAGGATCCGTTAGTATTTTGTCTTGAAGATAAGCCTCCTGCTTATTTTTCTAATATGCCAGATTAAATAATCTTTGGCTCGACTTAGATAAATTACTATAATTTCACTGTCCCAAAACAAATTCCTTTCGTCTAATACCCATATAAATGTCTATACACCCTGTTTTACCTGGCATAAACAGCTTGTTGTTTTTCCCTGCTAAGTCCCTTAAGGACGTGAGCGATCATGGCTCTCCATAACTTCCTATCTTTAGAAACTCTAAGTAATGTTTGTCTTCTTACTGTCCCTCCCAGTCCCTATTCTGTCGTCTTATGTAAATCACAAATGCATTTGGTAGGTTACGCGCTGTTCACCTCTGTCTTTCATGCCTCAATCTGCCTTGTGGGTGCTAAATTTTGCAAACCCTCTTTCCTCATTATGTTTTTCGATAAATTTCAACTGTCATTTTCTGTTTGAAAGTAAAGGGTGTTTCATTAAGACGGATTATATATAAGAGTGTTTCATTAAGAAGGATCAAAGTCAGCAGTAAATAAGTGAGTGATGTTGGTGAAAATTTATTTATTTCTCTATTGGAAGATGTTATTTAAGTCATGGCAATTATGTGTGAAAAATAATATCGCCCAAATATCCGCCAAACATGAAAGAAAGAAAAAATTCATTAGACGCTTTAAATTTATTCACATTTAAAATCGGTCCAAGTTATTGGAACACCCTTTAAAAGTGTCCTTTTTTATCTATTTTCTTTAAAGCTTCCTCGTTAATCACATGTTCTGTTCCTGATATTCTCAGTATCATTCTGTAGAAGCACATCTTTGTTGCTTCAAGTTTCCTCTTCATCTGTGAGGAAAATGTCCAACATTCGCTAACATATTTATATTGCCTAGCAGTTAAACACTCTTTTCTTTGTTTCTAACGATATTTTCCTGTTTCTTGATACTTTGTTTAGCTTTTAGAAGGCAGCTTTTACTATTGCAATGGTCTTCGAATTTGTTGGGGCCACCCACCTTCTCATGAGAATGGACTGATCTCTCTACGATATAGGACAGTGCTAGAGAGTTCTGAGGAGATCTAAGAGGTCAGGTGACCATTACACTTCCGTCTCTCTACCGGAAATTACCGTTGGACTTTAGACTCTCGCTGATTGTTACTACTAACCTACGTTCGTTTACTACTAATCTCTCTATTGTAAATACCTCTTCAAATATACCAGTATTTTTCCCTACATCTGTGTTTGTCCTTATTTGAATACACGCTCGCGGGAACACTCCCAACATCTCAACAGAATTTCTGTCACATATTCCGTCGTCTGTTAAAACATTTCCAAGATAGTTGAAGTTTTGTTCTTGCATGGTTTTGACATCAATAGCTAAGTTCTTTTAATTGTTTTGTGTAACTAAAAATTTCTGAATAGAACACAAAACCGCGCACCCAGCTTGGTTTCTGAGTTCCAAAACTAAACTTTACAGTTTCCTCCAGAGAAGGAAAAATTGGAGAAAAATCATTGTAATTTTCGCAAGAGTCGGGAAGAAAACATCATATTTTCATCCGCTGGAGGATAGAACGAGAGAAAGCTTTGCAGTTTCCTCCAAAGAAAGATACGGCGAGAGAAAGTTCAATTGACTGTTCTATTTTCTGGAGTAAAGATGTCAAATTGTAAAAGCTTCCTTTCCTTCATAAAATTTTACTGGAGTTTCTGGTAGCCATACATTCAACACAATTCAACCAATGTACATAAAACGATACCTTATCAATATCGTATGTCCCTTTTGGGATAGCATTTTGTAACCACTGAGAAGAAGAAGAAGAAGAAGAAGAAGAAGAAGAAGAAGAAGAAGAAGAAGAAATAAATAAATAAATAAATAAAATAATAGACGTAACGTTTCCAATATTTTTCAACATTTATTAGAAGAGCGCGATTTATGAAAAAAAAAATACACAGCGTTTCACAATGTTGAACAATATTACGACAGGAGGATAGGGGGAGAGAGACAGACAGAGAGAGACAGAAACAGAAAGAAAGAGGGAGAGAGAGAGAAAGAGGGAGAGAGGGAGAGAGAGAAAGCTTTGCAATTTCCCACACAAGAGGATAGGGGGAGCGAGAGAGAGAAAGAGAGATAGAGAGAGAGGGAGAGAGAGAGAGGGTGAGAGAGAGAGAGACAGCTTTGCAATTTCCAACACAAGAGGATAGCGCGCGCGCGCGCGAGAGAGAGAGAGAGAGAGAGAGAGAGAGAGAAAGCTTTGCAGTTTCCTCCAAAGAAAGATAGGGCGAGAGAAATCTCCATTGACTGTTCGATTTTCTAGACTTAAGACGTCAAATTGGGAAAGTTTCCTTTCCTTCATAAAAGTTTACTGGAGTTGCTGAGCTTGGACAACTAAAATAACATACAAAGAAAAGATAATTACGCTCACTTTGACGCCGTTTCAACAGACTGGTGATAATGGGACAACGTGGAAAATCTTGTTAAGACAACGCATTTCGCCTCTTTATGGCAGGCGTCTTCAATTAGGAATGAGAGATAAAAAAAACCGTATTATAAGGAGAATGTCTTTGAATCTTCATGAAGCGGTAATAGACCATCATAAGCTGCGGCTAGAAAGGTTTATAGCTTCCTCCAGAGAAGGAACAAATAGAGAGAAAGCATTATTTCCACCAGAGGGACAGAGAAATCTTTGCAGTTTCCTCCAGAGGGAGAAAGGGGAGAGTAAGCTTTATTGCTTCAGCCAGTGAGAAAAGTGGAAGCATCAACTTTGTACTTTCTTCCAAAGGTAAAGAGGAGGGGTAGAGAGAGAGAGAGAGGTAGAGAGAGAGAGAGAGGTAGAGAGAGAGAGAGTGTGTGTAGAGAGAGAGACGGGGGCAGAGAGAGAGAGTGAGGTAGAGAGAAAAACGGAGAGGGGACAGAGAGAGATAGAGACAGAATTTCATTTCATAATTTCCTCCAGAAATTCAAGTGAAAGAAAGAACTTATCAAGCAAGAGTTCGCGCCCGATTAGAAAATTAAAAACAATGAAAATCGGGCACGAATTTTAGTCATGATCCAATAAATTCCACCAAAGGGCAAAAGAAATCTTTAGAATTTCCTCCAGGGTGGGGGGGGGAGAAGAACGCAATATTTTATGGTTTCTCTTCTAAAGAAAAGTAATTTCATAGTTATCTGCTGATGGTGAAAAGGAAAATGGAAAGAAAGGATATATTTTAAATAAAGTACAAATCCTCTAAACCGAACATCCTAGATGTCGGGTATTGAGGATACTGTTCGGATTCGAGATAGAAAAAGCTGTTGTGGCAAGTTTTAGAGTTTAAGATACAAAAGGTCTTTTGTAACGTTGATTCGCTTTTATTTAAAGTGTAGATTGAATACATAAATGTACAAAAATAATTGACAACCAATAGCAATGAAAAAATTTGTGATAAACAAATATTTTAATTTGTGAAAAACTCAGACATTTCATGAAATGTTTAAAAATTTATGAAATATCTTATTCAAAAACAATTACAATCTGTAAAGAAAGTCAAAAATAAGGATATACAGTACAACACCTCTAAACTGAGCATGCGTGATGTTTGGTATTTAGGGTACTGTTCTGATTTGAGGAAGAAAAGACTTCGTATTTATGTCAATACAAAAGTTCGGATTTGAAGAGTTCAAATTCGAGGAAGTCTAGATTATGCTATGTTCGGATTTGGGGAGTTTTACTGTGTTATGTTCCGACAATCTTCATCGGAACTGTTATATTCCGTGCTAAGGGAATAAATAAGTAACACCAGGTGGATACTAGAAGAAAGTTTTATTGTACACAACCAGTACAATATGAAATACAGTACAGTTATACACACAGGTCAATCTACTAGTGAGTGCCACTAATTGGTAAGTCGGATGTGCTTGCGTCTTCTCACTCACTCTCGTCTCCTCTCTGCCTCCTAGTCTCTTATAGACAGTTGATTTTATAGGTACTTTCTACCTATAGTGTAATCATTCATGGGGGTGCCAGGTTCTTCCCTTATATCATACTGTAAATGGAAATAAACTATACTCTTCGAGAAATACGAATATCTGAAAGGTTTCTTTTGTTTTTAGGCAAATTGCAGAAAAAAATCAGTCTGCTAATTTTTATTGGGAGTTCTCTCTCGCAGAACTAGGTCGTCTATCAAAGCGAAAAATACACGTCAGTTGTAAGTTTGCAATTGAATTCAACTTCAAAATAAAGACACTTGAGTCGTATGCCTTAAAAAACTGTATATTTTTAAAACTGTTGAACGATACAGAAATTGTTACGTTTAACAAAAATATCCATTTTAAATTTCTCCTTCAGCGAGATAAAAAAAAAAAAATCAAGTGATAGATTAGTAATTTGAACCAGTCAGTCCACTGACGCGTTTATTGATTACGTTCGACTGTGAGATTAGCTAACAACCTTTAGCGTCTCACTAAGCAGACGCTGATTTCATTATTTATTTTTTTGTTTCTCTGACAAACACTTTTAGGTACTAATAAAAAAAAACCATAGTTTTTTCACAGACGTCTATAGGTTCTTTCATTTAAAAATGTTAGCAGAAAAAACAATACCAATTTAGAGAAAACAGTTAAACAACGCATCTCTGAAAAAAAAGAAAAGAAAAGAAAAAGAACGGAAAAGTAAAGAACAAAAGAAAACTATATATATATATATATATATATATATATATATATATATATATATATATATATATATATATATATATATATATATAACCCATTAAAACAAGAGAAAAATATTATTTGGGGAGTTTTTCACTAATAATAAATTAGGGAATTATCAAATGAAGAAAAATGTTTAAAAAATTTGTTAGTAAGATTTTTTACTCATCTTTGAAATGTAAAATATTGAAGAGTTTTATGTTTTGTCACACAGTGTAAGTCTTTCCTTACACCGGCTTCGTTAAATTATCAGTCAAGTCATAACAAGGACCTTAGTCTGACAACTCTTCCCTCAAAATATGTGCAATGACCAAAAAAAAAAAAAAAAACAATCTTTGGATGACTCCAAGTTGATATGGTATTCCCAGCTGGTCGAGGAAGTCACATAGTTTTATTGGGATTGATCCCAATGTTCCAATCGCCAATGGAATCACCTTGACATTCTTTTCCTGCATCCGAAACAATCTTGCCATCACAAATTAGACTGTAATTTTTTTAAACATCTTGCTGACTATATTTGTGTCATTTGGTATGGCAACATCAATAATATGGCAGTCCTTGGTGTCTTTATTTAGCATTATAATATCTGGTGAATCACTTTGGCTGTCTGGAAATCATAGGCCCAGAATATTGTGGGTTTTTCCAACTTCTTATATGGTTCTACAAGGCACATGCTTATACCATGTTTTTTTACAACCTGGTAGATATTTACTTGACCCCCCCCCACTGAGTCAGGTTTTTTACAACCTGGTATCCATACATCCAACACAATAACGAAAGTACTTAAAGAGATACCTTATCAATATCGTATGTTCCTTTTGGGCTAGCATTTTGTAACCACTGAAGAGGAGGAGGAGAAGAAGAAGAAGAAGAAGAAGAAGAAGAAGAAGAAGAAATAAATAAATAAATAAATAAAAATACACAGCGTTTCACAATGTTGAACAATATTACGACAGGAGGATAGGGAGAGAGAGAGACAGAGAGAAAGAGGGAGAGAGAGAATGACTGTCAGTCTGGTTTGGAGTGAACTACTATCGGCTCGACTCGATTCGTCCCTCTCTCTTGAGAGGCGTAGTATACATAGTGTTAGGAAGAGTTCATTCTGTAGTTATAGGTTAGGACCCATGACAGCTGTGTAATTCATCATAAGAGAATTATTCTTGTTTTGATTCGAGGAGTTTTTCCATATTTTAAAACTGTTGGAATCGCTGATTACGCAAGGATTGTTCAGTGGAGTGAAACAATAATTTGAACGTAGTAGAAAAGTAAAGAAGACGCTGCATATGGAAGAACTTCCCATCCCAGCGCCATGATTATTTACTGCGTCGAATCTGCAACATTATGACGGTACCTTTGTCATGCGACAAAATCACTGGTTAACTTTCTTGCACAGAAAAAAAAGGATTCTTCTCTTCCAGTGTGTTTTATAATTGGCCCGAATGATCACTATAGTTTTGTGCATTAAGGGTCTGTTCAAATTCTGTAATTCGAAATAAAGGATTCTCTTTCAACCCCAAATAAAGCGAAGAACACCCTTCCCACCCATCAAATTCTGTTTAGTTTTGGATACTGAAAATTCTTCTGGATCTCGTCACGATTAATTTTGTTTGGGATTCTCGTAATAAATCCATTTTTCTTCGTTAGTGGTTAGAACATTGGGTTTAATGCTCCCAGTTCTAGTTCTTGGACAATAATCTACTAGATTAAAGTGTTCATTCATGAATACGGTGATATAGTAATTGTGAGTTCAATCTCTTGGCCGGGCAATACAGACTTAGTAGAAACAGGGTGAGCAATACACAATTAAATAAGGGGATTTTGTTGTATTTTTTTTTAATAAATGAATCATTTCACACAAGCAAGGCGATAAAGCCACTAAGATGCAAGAAAGTTACTGAGAGTGAAGAAGTCTGTGGAAACGTTACTGGGGAGAACAAACAATAAAAAGAACAGGATACAAGGAGCGATAGATGCCAATTGCCGTTGCATTTACATTTTTGGAGATTGTAGTTGGCAGGAAATCAAGAATTTGGAAGAACGTAATGTGCGCGAAAAGAAACTATTAGAATAGAACTTACGGTTGCAGTTAGCAATTTCAACAGTAAAATGATGAGACCTAACTTCCAATCTAGTACTACGTTTAAATTCATGAAGTTTAGCTACCAAAGAACAATTGACATGAAAATATTTATAGAAAAGGCACAGAGAAGCTAAGTTACTAAGTTAAGTGAGAAAGTGATTGAAACAGAGGTGCCAGATCAGGACTGATAACATTACAGATCGAAATTAACCGAAGGATATCGTCCTGAAGAAGGCCGGAGGGCACAAAGGTTGAAACGTTGTGATAACAATAAAAAAGATAAGGACATCAGACTGAATGCAAATAATATAAATGATGAGTTGTTCTTAACGTTTTAAATTTCCAGCGTGTCACTATTATATGTCATGTGAGTTCCATCTGTGAATGGAAAGCAGACAGTTTATATCCTGTTCTCTCTCGGCTGCTGTTTCGCTCATTCAAAACATCGTTGGTGTTCGGCCTTGAGTGTTGCGCTATTAATCTTTCACTGTATTAGTCCCCCACCACCACCACCTAAATACGCTTT